TGTGTGTGTGTGTGTGTGTGTGTGTGTGTGTACTCAGTAGTGTCCGACTCTTTGCAACCCCACGGATTGCCCACCAGGCTTCTCTGTCCATGGGATTTTTCAGGCAAGAATACTGGAATGGGTTGCTACTTCCTACTCGAGTGGCTCTTCCTGACCCGGGGATTGAACCCACGTCTCGTATGTCCTTTGTTGGCAGGCGGGTTCTTTACCACTAGTACCACCTGGGAAGTCCCAGAATCATCTGGAGGGCTTGTTAAAAAAGATTTCTGGACCTCTAGAGTTTCTGATATTGCAGGTGTGCAATGCAGAAGAATTTGCCTTTCTAACAGTTTCCTGCGTTTTACAAATGCTGCTAAGAGACCACACTTTCAGAACCTCTCATAGATACAAAAGTGGTATAAGAGTTACAGAAGTCGGGGGAGGAAGAACATTGCAGATAGAGGACTGAGGATGCCCAAAGACCAGGTAGGGAAGGATCGTGGCACCTTTGAGTAGCCGTAGGCAGGCCACAGGGGCTGGAGGATACTGCGGAAGCTGAAGGAAAGAGCCCGGCCACTCAGGGAACCAGGAAAACAGAATGGTGATGACTCAGGGAGATGTAGGCCAGTCCAAGCCCGAAGAGCAATTATGCAAAGGAACAGCGTGATTAGATTTGCATCTTAATAAGATCACTCTAGCTTCTGGTTGGAAAATGGCCTGGAGAGACCAAAAAGGGAAGGCAATGAGTTGATGGGTGTTCTTGTAGAACAGGCCAGAGGTGATGGCCCGGGAGGTAGCCTTTCAGCAGTGCTGCCCTGGTGGTTGGGATGGAGGAGAGTGGGTGGATTTGAAAGAGACCTTAGAAGGAAACAGTGATGGATTTGGCCACTGATGGGTGGGGGAGGGTGGAGAGCAGGGAGGCGGGAGGGATGAGTCGTCAAGGATGACTCCTGGGTTTCTGGCTTGAGAGCAGGAGAGATGACGGTGCTGCTCTGCAGGCTGGCTGAGACTGGAAGGGGGCCAGGCCTGGGGGAGATCCTGAGTTCGTCTGTGGACGTGTGGGCTTGGAACCACCCAAGGCTTCCAAGGGGAAGGTCGAGCCAGCAGTCAGGCATACACGTCTGGGGTGGAAGAAATGAACAGTCATTGGTGTAGGTTATTCTTGGAGAAGAGCCAAGTATACTTCTTATACTTAAGAGGGGCCAAAGTTACCTTAGAAGAGAGTGTAAAGTGAGGAGAGGAGAGGTCACACCTCTAGGACCTCTAGCAGGTAGGGGTGGGACAGGAAAGAAAGTCCCCTGACATCTTCAACAGAGGAGACAGGAGGATAACCCGACCTGTGGAACCACAGGAACCTGTGGTGAGGGGTGGGGATAGATCAAGAAAAGACTGGAGAACAATTTCAGAGGCAGTGAGAACTGAGTCACCGAGGACCATCCCTTGGATGGGGGTCCTAATCAATACTTGACAGGGCAGTGTTCCCACCAGTGAAAGTATTTGAAGGCCTTTTTAAAAAATTACTTTTTATTGGAGTATAGTTGCTTTACAACGTTGTGTTAGTTTACCAAACAGCAAAGTGAATCAGATATATTTAGCCATGTTAAAAGTGCACGTCACTCAGTTGTGTCTGACTCTTTGAGGCCTCATGGGCTGTCCATGGATTTCTCCAGGCAAGAATACTGGAGTGGGTAGACATTCCCTTCTCCAGGGGAGCTTCCTGACCCTGGGACTGAACCCGGATCTCCTGCATTGCAGGCAGACTCTAGTGTTTGAGCCCAGGGAAGCCCGTATGTACACACACAGCCCCTCTTTTTTGGATTTCCTTCCCATTTAGGCCACTGCAGAGCACTGCGTAGGGTTCCCTGAGCTATAAGCATTAAGTTCTCGTTATATACCTATTTTATACTCAGTATCAATCTGTAGAATCTAGAACAACGGTTTAGATGATCTTATTTGCAAAACAAATAGAGACACAGACATAGAGAACAAACAGTTGAAGACTTTTTACTGGCAGAAGATGTTTATGATATAATGCTGAGTTTAAAACTCAGAATACAAAATCCCAGTTATCATCGTAATTATGTAAAAATCCTATGTCTGAAACAACCAATAAGTGAACATTATTATTTTAATTAGTCTAGCACTGTAAAAGGTATGAGGAAATGTGTTTTCTACCTTGTGGAGTCAGCCTTTAAACTTTTTCCTTAAATAAGATCCTGAAGTTGGAATTCAGCCTGTGCTGCTGCTGCTGCTAAGTCGCTTCAGTCGTGTCCGACTCTGTGTGACCCCATAGACGGCAGCCCACCAGGCTCCCCCGTCCCAGGGATTCTCCAGGCAAGAACACTGGAGTGGGTTGCCATTTCCTTCTCCAATGCAGGAAAGTGAAAAGTGAAAGTGAAGTTGCTCAGTCGTGCCTGACTCTTAGCGACCCCATGGACTGCAGCCCACCAGGCCCTCTGTCCACGGGATTTTCCAGGCAGGAGTACTGGAGTGGGGTGCCATTGCCTTCTCCGGGAATTCAGCCTATAGTTGGAGTTAAATCTATTCCAAACAGCATATTTTGTCAGCTGAAAGGTTATTTACTCTTTTTTGTTTTTCTTTCAGTGTGTTGGGTTGCTTTTTTTCACCTTTTATTTAAATACAAATTGATGAACCCTTCCCAGGGCACTGTTGATTTAACGCAAGTTGGCAATGACTAATCTCATCGGCTATTAGCCTGCGTGATGTTCTTGTCCTTTACTGATTTCCTTTCATTCAATATAATAAAGTATGTTGCTCTCATGACTAGGTTTTCAAGCTGTTTGGCACAGAGTTGTAAATTTCCTTGGCTTTTCTGGAGAAAAAGACCCTTTTATTTGGAAGGAGCTCTTGCGTGGTTAGATTTCTCCTCACTGATTTCAGGAATTCCAGCCTCAGTGTTAGAGACCTTATAGTGGCCACAGTCTTCAATCTAAGGAAAGTCAGTTTGCAGCGGACTGTGAGGGCAGCTACCCACTTCTGGGTGAGAAAGGAGTATGTATTTGCAGAAAATTGGACCAGGCAGACATTTTGTGATTTCTTCTCTGGTCTGGTCTGAAGTCGCTCAGTCGTGTCTGACTCTATGTGACCCCTTGGACTGGAGCCCGCCAGGCTCCTCGGTCCATGGGATTCTTCAGGCAAGAATACTGGAGTGGGTTGCCATTCCCTTCTTCAGGGGATCTTCCCAGTTCTTATCAAGTGCTGTGAAACTCCAGCTAATGCTTTCACCTTCCTCCTTATTGAGGAAGCAGATTAATTGTGTAGCTAATTAACTGGCTCTCACTGAGGACTACTAGACATTTGTACTCTGATTGCTGGCTAAGGAGAAGTGGGATAAAATCACTTGGACTGTGGAAGAATTGAAGTTTATTTTTTTTTAAGCACCTGGTCCCTCCCCTCCACGCTCCTGCCAGGAGGAACCTGCAGTTCCCTGATCTGCCCGTCACTCGGGCAGGAAAGAGGGCCTGGACTGTCCCCCAACGCAGGACCCCAGCTCCGGGAGGGATTAGCAAATGCCAGTTTCACCGTGTTCACACCCTCCCACCTGCCTCCAGAGGAGGGGGAGGTGAGGCCATAGGGGAGGGCCCAGGAGCCTCACCCCGGGGCAGCGAGGCAGAAGGGGCTTTGTGAGATTGTGCCGAGAGGGTTAAGCCGACCTGAGCACTGCTTTGGGGGTATCGGGCACATCTGGGTTGAGCAGGGGAGCCCTGTGGTCAGGTTATGGTGTTTGTGGGGTGCCAGCTGGCTTGGAACTCTTGCCACTCACCTGCTGTGCACAGCAATAGGGATTCTTGGGGCAAGCCCTTACGTAAGGCCTTAATCCTAGAGAAGGAAATGGCAACCCAGTCCAGTATTCTTGCCTGGAGAATTTCATGGACAGTGGAGCCTGGTGGGCTACAGTCCATGGGTCACAAAGAGTCGGACACTATTGAGTGACTAACATTACTACTAAGGCCTTAATAGCCAGGAATTTGAGCTCTTCTGACTTGTCTCTGACCTGGCCCCTTCCCAGGGGACCAGGACTCCGCACTTCCTCAGTAGCACAGTCAGCTCCTGAGCAGCAGTGTGGGAGCTGGGGACAGGGGTTCAGTCTGAAAAGCAATGCCTTGTGTCTGGGGGACAGTGAAGGTGAAGATGTCCCTGGAGGGAAGGGTGCAGCTTAGAGCACATGGATGCAGATTCTTGGCAAGTGTGTGCCGTGTGGTTGGGGTTGGATTGTTTTTCCTGGCAGATAGAACCCAGCAGTGTTCATCTAGTGGATGTGCTCTCTTTAGGCATCTTCTGCACATGGTGCTGGAGGGACACAAAATCAGAGAAATAATTCCTGGCCATTTATTGAGAACCCTGGCTTCCCTGGTGGCTCAGATAGTAAAGAATCTGCCTGCAGTGCTGAAGACCTGGGTTTGATCCCTGGGTTGGGAAGATCCCCTGGAGAAAGGAATGGCCACACCACTCCAGTATTCTTGCCTGGAGAATTCCATGAACAAAGGGAGCCTTGCCTGGCTACAGTCCATGAGTCACAAAGAGTCAGACACAACTGAACAACTTACACTTTCCTATTTTCCAGAAAATATTTATCGAAAGTCCAGACTCTTGTTCAGTGCATTCGAAAGAATGTAGGCAAGGAACAAAAAACTCAAAGAAACACACATGCTAACGCTGAGGAGCAAAAAGAACAAAGAAGCAGTTTATTGAGGCAAAAGCAAAGGATACACTTTTCGAGTGCAGGCATCCTCAAAATTTGGGGGGTACACTGCAGAGTTGTTGATTCCCCCCTTTTACCTTATTTTAGGCCCTTGAATGGCAGGGGGCCATTTGATTAGGAGGTAGAATATTCATTGACGGGAGAGTCGAGGTGAGGCCTGGATGGCTGCAGGTTGCACCTGTGCGTTTGTCTCCTGAAGTCACCATTATATGCACTGTTAAGAGCTGTTTGAAAAGCTATGACCAACCTAGACAGCATATTTAAAAGCAGAGACATTACTTTGCCAACAAAGGTCCGTCTAGTCAAAGCTATGGCTTTTCCAGTAGTCACATAGAGAGACTGAATGTGAGAGTTGGACTATAAGGAAAACTGAGCACCGAAGAATTGATGCTTTTGAACTGTGGTCATGGAGAAGACTCTTGAGAGTCCCTTGGACTGCAGGGAGATCCAACCAGTCCATCCTAAAGGAAGTCAGTCCTGAATATTCATTGGAAGGACTGATGCTGAAGCTGAAACTCCAATACTTTGGCCATGTGATGCGAAGAGCTGACTCATTGGAAAAGACCCTGATGCTGGGAAAGATTGAAGGCAGGAGGAGAAGGGGACGACAGAGGATGAGATGGTTGGATGGCATCACTGACTCTGTGGACATGATTTGAGTAAGCTCTGGGAGTTGGTGATGGACGGGGAAGCCTGGCATGCTGCAGTCCATTGGGTTGCAAAGAGTCAGACACGACTGAGCGACTGGACTGAACTGAACTGAAGAGCTGTTTTTCCTTAAATTGTCTCTCACTAGTCGAGCAGCCACAGGTGGAAGGTTGTTCAGGGTCATCAACAACCTGTACAGTTTTATTGCACATGCTTCATGGTTTTCATGGTCAGAGTTTCTTGTTCAGATGCTGTAAAGGTTCTGCCTTAGATGCCATTCCTCCATGTGTCATGGCCTCAGGAAATGTGAAGCAAGGAGGTGGCTTTGCCTTCTGCCTAATTTTTATGCATGAGGAGGCTGTCCTTGGGCCCAATCCTGTCTTTCCTGCCTCATTATACGCCAGGCTGTGGGCATGGCCTCTGCCTCCAGGATTGGGGGTTAAATGGCAGGCCCTGGTCAGAGCTGTTAACTTTCTGCCCCACCTCAAACTCTGTCCAGCTCTCTCAGGCGGGCTGCCAGAGTGAAGGTTCTTGAATGCACATCTGACTGTGTCCCTTCCGCCTAAACCTTCTCATGCCTCCTCCAAGCCCACTGTCAACTCCTCAGCCTGACTCACCTCACCACCTGGTCCTGGAGAACTGTTTATGCCACTGCTTCATCCGTAATATCCAGCCCCCTAACCAGCTCCTGCTCAGCTTCTAAACTCAGACTTCTGTGTTTGTGATTTGTGATTAACCTCATTCAGATTATTTTATTGGTTAGCTGGTTCAAGTACTCATTGTCCTTGAGTTTTTTCACCCAGAGCATTTCAACACATTTGCAGAACTCATAGCCTTTGGCAGAGCATCCTTATTCATATTGCCCTGTTTTTAGGGTTGGAGTCTTGGGGTGGACTGTAATGGTCCCCGAAGGACATGAGCCACACTGAGCAGTTTTGCTTAGATGCACATCCTCAAGAGTTCTGACCTCTGGATTTATGCTTAAGCCACAGTACATTATTGATCACTTTGTACTCGAAATGGTTGATAGTTGGGGATAAAAATTTTCATGATGCTTTATTTTTAGGTGGTTTTGTCCTCTAATTATTCTAAATTGCTATTAGATGGAAAAAGATGTTTATACTGTAGAGTCCCTAACTGCTATCATGTCATGAAAGCATGTAGCACTCAGCATGCTCTCAGCTACCGGTAACAGAATTAATGGTTCTGAACTAGTGGTTTTGAACAATAGGGATTTTTTATTGTTTCATGTAAGCAATCTGAAAGTAGGTGGTTCCAGGTTGAATCTAGGGATGAATAATCAAAGACTCAGGCAGTTTCCAAGCTTTACACCACACCCTGTAGATATGCTGACTTTATTTTCAGACTGTTGCCCCATGGTCTCAAAATGGCTGCCACAGCTCCAGGCATCACATTCTCTCACTGTTGTATTCAGAGCTTGGTAGGAAAAGGATGAGGAAGAGAGCTCTCTTCTGTTGAGTTGTTCTATTAATCAAAAAGGGAAGAACACCTTATAGACTTCTCTTTAAGTTTTATTAACCATAATGGGTCATTTGACAACCTCCAGTTGCAAGGGAGGCTGAGAACGCGAGTGTCTGACATTTTTAGCCTCTAATGTGAGAGAGGGGCTCTATTAGGAGGGAAAAAAGTGGACAACAACTCCCTCTGCCACAGAGAATGTATATCTTGCATCATCCACCAAACAAGTACAGAGCACCTGCTAAGAGCCAGATTCTTGCTGTGGGTGCTAGAAGCGAAGCTTCACATCATCTGATTCAGTCCCTGCCCTGTCCTGGAGAGAAGCTGTATTCATGAGCTAGAGGTTAAAAATTAGCAAATTAAATGCAAAACACTCTCAGAACTCCTAGGAGCAGAACTGAGAAGCAATCTTGGTTTTGGAGAATGGAGAGCTTCATGGAAGAGGTGACATTTCAACTATGTCTTGAAGGATGAATAGGAGTTTACCAGGGGGAAGAAACAAGAAGAGGCCAATTCTGACCAGGGGGCAATGAGGGCAGATTCAGAGCTGTGCAAAAACCTGCTTCGGTTTTATTGACCACCACCTCCTCCATCACCACCCTGGCTCTGAAGGAGTGCCACCCTTAACCAGAGCTGAGCCTCAGGACCCATTTGGCTGACCTGAGAGTGACAGTGATGTGTGCTCATTCCACCTGGGGAGTCTTCATTCAGAAGGACATGAAGTCCTTCATGCCTGCTGTGGGTGGTGTGGGCTGCTCTGTGGGGGCATTTGTTCTTCGTTCAACCCACAGTGACACCCCCACTATTGGAGGAGGCCCTGACCCTCACCCCTGTATGGGGGTGGGGGGATGTCTTGCAGAGGTTGTGCTTAGTCCCTCCCTGCACCCCCACCCCTGCTGGCCTTGACGTTGGCCATATGACCTGAACCAGGCAGTGGCTGTGCCCACCCGCTGGGTATGGTGATGAGTCCAGATGTGAGCAGGAGCGATTGAAGGCCTTCCCTGGACTTCTTGAAGTCCAGCCTGCAGAGGCTGATCTGAGAGATGGGGCCTGTGTCCTGCCAGGGCTCCAAGCCCATATCCAGGCATCTCTGCACAGCTTCCCTACGCATCCCATTATGAGAGCGACAAATCACCTTTCCCACTTGGGTTCATTGGAGCTGGTTTTATCACTTGCAATAAAGTCTTGGCTAATCTACTAGCACACATCATTAGCGAAAGCACACTGTCTGCTGCCTGGCTGCCACCTCTCCTGGTAATGTCCCTGTCCCCAGTGAGGCCTTCTCTTCTGTCTTACTGAGTCTGGTTGGAGGACGAACTCCTGGGAGGGCTGGCTTGGCGTCTCTTCTCCTGTTTCTCCAAGACCTTCCCTCTGTGGCTTCTTTTGCTCCAAGCCAGCCAGTGGCTCCTGTGGCCACAGTGGCCCAGGCGTGCAGGTCCCTGTCATCCCACTGCTATGTGGGGTCCGTCTCGTCCAGGAAGTTCCCCCATGTGCAGCTGGAGCCTGTACAGGTGATAAAACTCCCTCTGCTTTTCACTGTCACTCCTTTGGGATGTTCACACTTTTCCCTGGGCCTGTGGTCCACTCACCAGGGGAGCCCATCACCTTGCTGACATGTGAGCCAGAGCACAGAGCACCAGAGAAAATCAACAACCCTTGATGACCTCGTCTGGCCCAGGAGCTCCCTTCTCTGGGCAGCCTGTCTCAGCTGGAGTCTCTCCAAGCTTCATCAACAAGATTACTCTATACTCAGATGAATGACTTCTCAATTCCTCATTTTCTTCTCCTGAACAGAACACCCTCCTATGGAGACTTCCCTGGTCTAGTGGTTAAGAATCCGCCTTCCAATGCAGGGAACGCAGGTTTGACCCCTGGTTGGAAAACTAAGATCCCACATGCCGCAGGACAACTATGCTCGCCCACCACAACTACTGAGCCTGCGGGCCACAACCAAGACCCAACAGAACCAAAAATAAATAAATTAAAAATAAATCTGATTCAAGCTGAATTCCTTTAAAAAATCAAAAACAAAAAACCTCCTATCAAAGGGATTGGCGAACCAGGCCCCATGAGCCACATCTAGCTTGAGTCCTATTTTTGTACAGCTGCAAGGCGACCTTTTGTAAAATAGGTTTTGCAATTTCAAATGGTTGAAAAAAATCAGAAGGGTGATCCAGGTGGCGCTAGTGATAAAGAACCTGCCTGCCAATCAGGAGATATGACACGTGGGTTCGATCCCTGGGTCGGGAAGATCCCCTGGAGGAGGGCATGGCAACCCACTCCACTATTCTTGCTTGGAGAACCCCATGGACAGAGGAGCCTGGCAGGCTACAGTCCATAGGGTTGCAAAGTTGGACATGACTGAAGCGACTTAGCACCCAGTATATTTCATGGCATGTGAGAATCGTATGAAGTTCACATCTCTGTGTCTATAAGTAAAGACTGGTTGCAACACAGCCACGCCCATCTATTTGCATATTGTCTGTGGCTGCTTTCACACTGCAGTAGCCCCGGGTGAACTGCTGTGACAGAGACCATAGGACTTCTCAGTGCCTAAATGATTTATTGTTTACAGAAGATGTTTGCAGACCCTGCTGTGTCCTTTCCCCTTTGGTTTCTGGTGACTTCCGTTCCACCCGAATCTCCCAGAGAAAGGCGCACCCCTCGTGCTGCTCCAGCGTGGGGACTTCGGATTTTCAGGGGACAAGAAGGAGAGCACAGCTTAATCCCAAAGACTTTATGGTCAGTGCTGATGTTTCAGACTTCCGAGGGGGCTTCTTGGGGGAGAGTGGGCTTCTCATGCCCTTCAAATGACAACACGTGACAGTGGAAGCTTCAGATCCAGAGGCCAGTCCCAGGCCAGTCCTGGGGCGGCTGCTACTTCTACAACCTTCCAAGACAGCTTTGGAGGCTGTCCCACTAGATCCCTCTATGCTGTCCCACTGGCTCCATAAAGAAAGGCCTAGATCCTGCCCCTTCCTAGGCCAACCGTCACTTCTCCTTTGCTCTAAGGATTCAGGAAACTAATGAGGACTTAGGCCCAGCATGTCTTTGGGACGTGATGGCAACCTCCCACTAGTTTTCTCTTTGGAACCCCAAGTCTTTGGACTCCCACAGTCTCAGCTGGCCTGGCCATGAGCCAGGGTTACCCCAGGTTCCATTCTGAGTCCTAAGTTTTGCCACCACTTGCTCTTAATGGCCGGCTGACCCAGGAGGCACAGGTGAAACTCTCAAGCTGGGTACCTGGAGAGCATCTGAACTAGAGATGGGCAAGCGTAAGCATCAGTGATGGGCTGATCGGAAGAGGAGACCACACAGGTCCATCAGGGTGCGTTTGGCTGCAGGTAACAATCCCGCGTCAATGGTCATTAAGCACAGCAGGCACTTAATCATCTCACGTGGTACGGCATCTGGAGGTGTACTCTGCATTTCCTTTGGTGGCTCAACGATACCAACAGGACTCCAGTTCTTTCTCTTTCCGTTTTACTGTCACCGTAGCTCCAGGCGTGACAGCCACATTCAAAGGCAGGGAAGCCAGGGCAGCAAAAAAACTTTTTACTTGCTTGGCTCTTGCCCTTCAGAGGGTGAATGCCTTTCCCAGAAGCCTCCAGCAGACTTCTCTGTACATCTCTGTGGCCAGAACCATCTCCACCTGGTACTTGAGCAAAATTGGGATTGTATGAGCAGGAAGAGGGGGAGATGTAG